AGCCCCGCTGTGTCACTGTGCGGAGGACGGCCTCTGGCGTTCGTCGTGCCGCAGCCGTACGGCATTGCAGGCCGCACGGGCTTCACTGCCGAGGGACACGGAGGTTCTTACAGGTGGTGTAGGGGGGCAGCCGTGAAACCTTAGATTCACCACCAGCAGGCAGTCTCCTTGTGGATTCCCGCTGTAGTTCTCTCAGCAGCCCACCGTAACAAGCTGCTTTCGCGCGTCGGAAGCGCAGATCTTGATGTGCCTCTCAATAGCGTTATGGAGATTATGCAGCTGTGCGTGCCAGGCTTTGGCTATGAACCTCTGAGAGGTATTACTAAAGTCAGGAATTACGGAGAATGACAGCTCTTTCTGCTCTTCACAAAAGTCTGGAACTGGTTATCCTGCAAGCTGCAAATACCGGTTTCTGTGGTGAGGTAGGACTGGTATTCAGCGATGCTGGTGCATCACAGCATGCTAGGAGCTAAGTGAAATGCTTAGCTTATGAAAAAATGCAGCTGTTATCTCCAAGACATAAACTAAACTAGTATCCAGTATAAGCGGTTTTATTTTTTTCAGTTGAAACACTGAACGTTAAGAGGGACTTTTGCAATAAGAGATTATTTGCCGTGTAGAATACAGACGCGCTAAAGATGTTGTTTGTCTGATTTGTGTGCATAAAAATTGTGCATAGCTTGGAACAATGTTTTCTTAATAGATACAGAAGTATTGCAGCTGCCCTGCTCTCACGAATGTTGGAAATTTTCACTGCTTTCTGAAAATCATGCTTATGTTACTGCTTTCTGTCTATATGAGGAGATATATTCTTTCTTTCCGCAGGTCAAAGCTTCATGAGGTTTTTCCTCAGCTGTAATGGCTGCAGCAGTGTAACCTGAGTACTGTGCTTGATTGAGAATGAGGCCGTTGACTTTCCTGAGTGACTTGAGAGCACATAACCTACTCTGATTGCCATTAGTGCAGAATATTTTCTGGAAGAGTAGTTACCTGCAGTATCTCAATTCATCTATGTATTGGAGAGATATGTGTTTGATGGGTGAACTCTTTGGTGGATGAGGAATCCAGAGGGTGGTGATTAACAGCTCGATGTCCAGATGGAGGTCGATGACAAGTGGTGTCACTCAGTGGTCTGTATTGGGACCAGTACTGTTTAATATCTCCATCAATGGTGTAGACAGTGGGATTGGGTGTGCCCTCAGCAAGTTTACTGATGACACCAAGCTGTGTGATATGGTTGGATGTGCCTGAGGGACGAGGTGCCATCCAGAGGGACCCAGAAAAGCTCGAGAATTGGGCTTATGTGAACCTCATGAGGTTTAACAAGACCAAGTGCAAGGTCCTGCACGTGGGTCAGGTCAATCCCTGATATCAATACATGCTGGAGAATGAAGGGATTGAGGCAGCCCTGCAGAGAAAGACTTGGGAGTACTGGTGGATGAAAAGCTGGACATGAGCCTGCAATGTGTGCTTGCAGCACAGAAAGCAAACATCAAAAAGTGTGGCCAGCAAGTCGAGGAAGATGATTCTCCCCCTCTACTCCATTCTCATGTGACCCCACCTGGAGTACTGCATGCAGCTCTGGAGTCCTCAGCACAGGAAAGACATGGACCTCTGGAAGAGGGCCACAGAAATGCTTGGAGGAATGGAAGACCTCTCCTATGAGGAAAGGCTGAGAGAGTTGGGATTGTTCAGGCTGGAAAAGAGAAGGCTCCAGGGAGACCTTATTGTAGCCTTTCAGTTCTTGAGAAGGCCTGTAAAAAAGATGGGGACAAACCTTTTATCAGGGCGTGTTGCGATAGGACAAAGGGTAATGGTTTTAAACTGAAAGAGGGTAGATTTAGAGTAGATATAAGGAGGAAGTATTTTACAATGAGGATGGTGAAACACTGGAACAGCTTGCCCACAGAGGTGGTAGATACCCCATCCCTGGAAACATTCAAGGTTAGGTTGAATGCAGCTCTGAGCAACCTGGACTAGTGGAAGGTGTCTCTGCTCACTGCAGGGGTGTTGGACTAGATCACTTTTATAGATCCCTTCCAACCCAAACTATTCTGTGATTCCATGAAGTTCTTTTTAGAGGTGGCTGGAAATGTTACAAGGAGAAATGTAAGGAAAGCTTTTAATCATTAATTTATGTGCAGAGAAAAGGAGATGTTAAAAAGTACAAAGTCTCTGTGGCATTAAGCCTTATCACTGTTTTAGTTGAATCTAAACTTAACTGAAATTAAGGTTGGTTTAACCATGCGCTCATGGACTTTGTGTGATTGTGGTTTTTGTTCGATAATACTTCTGGTCTCTGTCTCATAGAAAATTATTTGCTACTAGTCTTCTGCACATTAAATGGTTTGACTCAGTTTGGCCTTTTGTAGTCTGCCTCTTTGCGGACCATGTAGAATACAAAATCATAGAATGATAGAATCATCTGGTTGGAAGAGACCCTCAAGATCATCAAGTCCAACCATTCACCCTGCACTGTCAGGGTCCCTAAACCATGTTCCTCAACACCAAATCCACACGGTTTTTAAACACCTCTAGGATGGGGACTCCACCACCTCCCTGGGCAGCCTGTTCCAAGACTTCACAACCCTCTCTGTAAAGATGTTTTTCCTGATATCTAACCTAAATTTCCGCTGGCATAACTTGAGGCCATTCCCTCTCGTCCTGTCATTCATAACGTGGGAGAAGAGACCGACCCCCATCTCCCTACAACTTCCTTTCAGGTAATTGTAGAGAGCGATAAGGTCCCCCCTGAGCCTCCTCTTCTCCAGACTAAACAGTCCCAGCTCCCTCAGCTGTTCCTTATAGGACTAAGTTCTCTAAACCCTTCACTAGTTCAAATGATCAACTCAAAGTAAGCTGTATTTAATTTATTCATCCGTTCTTTGCTTACCACTCTTCTCTGTTTGGGAGAAACAAGCAGTTTATGAGAGATGTAAAATTGGGCATTATCTTATTAAAGATGGCTTAAAATAGGACAGGTTGGAGGTGTACAATATAAGGCATTGTTAATGTAAGTAAAGCTTTGGCTTTTCACCACCTTTACTCTTGGCAGAAGCCACAGTTCTTCTCAGTAGAGCAGCGTAGTTGCAGAGAAAATTCACTTTTATTGATTCACAAATAACTGAAGGCATCTCAGACATACGTATTTTGAAGAATGTACAATATGCACTGCTTGTGGTGTGACTCAGCCAGTGACTACCAGATGTTTTGCTGTTAAATGTGATGAGTATGTCAGAGATGCCCTGTGGTTAGCAGTGGCAGTGTGGGCACCTGCAGATTGTGGTGGTTGCAGTAGCAAGAAGTCCTGGTGCCCTTAGTGCAAAGAAGCATAGTTTCCATTTCTCTTTCTTTGCTCTCTCTTTCACTTCTCTTATCTATTGGAAGTTCCTAATTTGAGATTTATTTACTGTAGTTAGGTGCTGCATGCAGTTCCCGATTAACAGTAATTTTGGTACTTGCATAGAATTAGTTGGGAGTCTACTACTTACTACAGATAGTTGACATTTTCAAAAGTAGTGCCTTTCCCTCAATTTGAGAATGTCTGAAGTAGAGCCAGCCTTAATACGTTGTTTTGAAATAACCTTTTTTTCTGAAATACTTGGTGCTATTGAGAACAGAAATGTCATATGGCCTCAATCACATAGTTTCAGGTTCTGTGAAATTGCCTTGCTATCTTTGACCAAGGCAATATTCAGATACAACTGGAAGATGATTAGCAACTGTTTGCCATTTGTTTTATTAAACAGGGTGTTAATAAAAAATTGAAATAAACGTGAACGTACTTTTTATAGGCATGCATGCCATCATCTCTGTTAGTTGTTAGATGTATGTGGAAATGATAGATCTTGAACCTAATTGCGTGTTAACTTGCTGAGAAGTCTATAGGTTTTAAATAATACTTAACGCAGAATAATGATTTTGGTTTTTTTTGGTACCAGCAGGTCTTGGTAAGTAAGTGTTTTGTGTTTAGAAATGACTCAAGAAAAATCGATGTCTCTGCATATGTTTGGGGTAGCTGACAATAATCTGCTAAAGTATGCATTTAGTGGGGCATATTGATTTTCTTAAACTCTTGTCTTTCCCTGAAGCAAATTATGTTTTAACTGTTCGCTCTTCCTCCAGTGCCTTGCGTTCCACGATATTTCACCCCAAGCTCCAACACATTTCCTAGTGATTCCTAAGAAGCCAATCGTCAGGTTATCTGAAGCAGAAGATTCTGATGAATCTGTAAGTACTCTAGAAGCTTTCTGTACACCAAGCTGTACCTCTAATTACTTTGTAATTAACTAGACTCCCCCCTTTTCCTCTCGACATTTCAAAAAGGCAAAGTAGTTTTCCCATACCATACTCTTTTTCCTCTAGCTTAGCATGGGAACGGAGTTAAGGTTTTCCAGTAAAAGCAGTGATAATAAAGCAAAACGTATCTCTGGGTATGTATTTGCAGTGCAAAATACATTGTTATTTTGGAGTAGAGTCTTGATGTCTGTTTTCACAGTTTACAGGCAGTAGTACTTATTAGAATATAGGCTTGGGGTTTTTGGCAGGTCAGAGCTGAAGAAAGGGAAGGTTAGTTGAGAGGTGCTGAATATTTCATTTGCAACTATAAACATCCAGTTCAAAGATTTTGTAAACCCTTACATGATAAATCTTAAGTTTCTTTGTCACCAGAATTATACATGTTACCTGAAGAAGTAACAGAGGCTTTAACCATGAGATAGATTTAGCTTCTGGGACACTTTTGTAGGCTGTTACTGTCTAGCTTGAAAAAAAATCTATGGTTCTGTTTTTTTCCCCCTGTTATGCATAGTCTTTATAGCTTTTCTTGGAAAGTGTCAGTTGCAGGCAGACAACAATTTGAAGAGCAGTGGCTGAATTTCTGAGAATTAGCATACTGGCTTATCTGAATAGTTCTCTGCTCTCATTCCTTCCCTTTCTGCCCTCTCCCCTTTTTGTTGTTTTCTGTTTGTTTGGATTTTTTCTTTTTCTGTTTTTTTTTTTTTTCTCCTCCAGCTTCTTGGGGATTTAATGATTGTTGGCAAGAAGTGTGCTGCTAACCTGGGCCTGACCAATGGATTCCGGATGGTTGTGAATGAAGGGCCTGAGGGTGGGCAGTCTGTCTATCACGTACATCTCCATGTTCTGGGTGGTCGTCAGTTGGGCTGGCCTCCTGGCTAAGATTTTTACACCACAAGAGCTAACTGCATGCACACAAATTACCACCAAATAGATTTAATATGTTGTCCATCAATTTAGCCACTGTTAATGTATTATTTTTTTTTAATGTGTGTCTACAAAGGGTAATAAATGCTCTGAACAACATTCGCACAATAAAGATTTAGCATGTGGGAATCATCTCTGTCTGGTGTGTCTTACTGATAGAAACAATTTTGCAAGTTAAAATGGTGTTCTCTGGAGTTTAAGTACAAAGCATGTTTCAGTCTGCTGTTAACAATAAATATTCTGCAGATAGTGATTTGCCGAGCCATTTGAAACCTGAAGATGCGACTGCTTAGCAGTCTTTCTTGTCATTTGGGAAACTTCTAAGCTTTTTGAATGTGGTATGTAAACATTCACAAAGCCGGTGTAGGCTGCTGCTGAAACTTTTCCAAATGTGCTGTGCAAGGGTTGTGTCAGTACAGTGCAGTGTGTTGGAAACATGGAGCTGTTGGAGCCCTCTGTCACTGGCTACTTTATAAGACCCCATCTTTTCTGATGAGAAAGTGTAAAACAATACTCTTAATGGCAGCTGTGATAGTTCGTAGACATTGATATTTACTTCTATGTCATGATTTTGATGGAATTGAGAACTTGAAGTGAAAATACTGAACTGTGTCTGTGGGGTCCTTGTAAGATGCTCGGGGCATTTAATCTTGGTACGTAAGCAGCATGATGAAGTATATATATGTTTTAGATTCCAGATTTTATTTGGTGGACTTTGTCCTTCAGTGAATAGTAATTTCTCTATGTTGCTGCGTATACTTGTTCATGCAACACTGTCATTGAATCTCCAAGGCAATGAATTTTCTTGAAGTTAGGGTTACAGATGTGTCTCCCAGTGTAAATATAAAGTAACTCTTCTTTCTGTTAAAATTGAGAAGTCCCAGCTGACCAGTGTTTCTCATGGAAGATACTTGGAAACCTTTAAGCAGATGCCTTAAGAAAAACTGGGGTATTTGTGAGCGCTGCTCCAGAGTACAATTTTAACACCGAAGATGTAAGAGAAAGAAATGTGGAAGTGTAGAAGGTGGACAGGTGAAGGCTACGAGTTGCCATTTCCATTCCAATAAAAACTTGTAAGGTTGCTAAAGGCATTTGAATTCATTCAACTTGAAAGTATTCTGTAAGTACTTTTGAAGCTTCTGAACCCTCAGAGTTCTCACCCTAAGACAGGATTTTGCCTGGAAAATCAGCTAGTGCTTCTGAAGGCAACTGGTCTGTAGTTGAGTTAGGGATAAAAAGGTGGTGCTGTAGTGGTAGCCTGATAGCTTATCTCCTGGATGCCCTGCTCAGAAGGGAAGAAGAAACCACCCAAGCCCCAGAGGTACGTTTTGCCTAAGCAGACAGTTGAATGTGTGTTGCAAGAATGAGGTATCACTGAAAGATACAGTGTGGTGACAGTAAAGGTTTATGGCTGGGAAACTTGTCGAAAGAAGACCATGGAAGGCACATAAGGATATTGAGATTAACCATTGGCACCCAAGTGTGGGAAGGGGCATGTGATATGTGTGCTACTTTCACTTTTCTAATTTCTGTTTTCTTACATGTGTACTTACACCAGCATTACCATTTGTGAATTAAAGCATGACTAGTGAAGTTAGTTGAATCACTGCT